GCATCATGCCCCCTATGGACACCGGGAGCAACCAGAGTACTTTCTTGTAAAAGTAAAGATACGTATTTCGTGGAAACCACTCAAGATAAAGGCACATGAAGTCAAAAACCAACTCCGAGCATGAGAAGTGAGGTTGTGCCAACAATGTGACAAATGGGGAAAAGACATAATAGGGAAAAAGACGAAATAGTGCATAGTGTCGAAAAACGAAAAATGTGAAAATGACTCGGTCCTCAAAGGAAGTTGTCAATCCATGGAAAAGAGTCTCAGGAACCAATTTCGAGCACTCGAGATGACACTAAGCGACACGAAACAGAGCTTAGAAAAGAAAATTAAACGAAAAAAATTTATTCGTAAAATTTCAGGAAAAAGGAAAGGAAGGCAAATGACTGGGTCATTACAGGCTATCTCCATGGTAAAAAATGATCCTCCTCTTCTTAGTAGGAACCCTAGATGAGTGGAAAAACTTTTCCCAAATGGTGTATATCTCTCTCTTATCTTTAGCCTCTCTCTTCTATATTAATGTTGTTTTTTCATCCAAATAGCTAAAATCCTTATACAGGTAACTCAAATGTCACACCCAATGGTCAGACCTTCTGCACTAGGGCCTCCCAATGATTGCACCACGAGCACACTTTTTAATTGGCTGGAACTCTGTTTTTAACGCACTTGAGGAAGTTCGATCGATCACAAGGGTGCTTGGATCGATCGAACTATGGCGGCACCTTTTTGAATAATGACAAAGCTGAGATATTTTTGGGATATTTTTGGGAAAAGGACAAAAGTGGTAGGTGAGGATAAGATCAAAAATGTTCGATTAATCGAAGGAGAGGTTGGATCGATCGAAAAGGGAAATTTCCTGCATATAAGGACAAAAGACTCGATCCATCATAACATGGTTGGAACAATCACAGTGTGATCGATCGGAGATTGATTCGATCGATCGAAGAGGGCTTATTTTCACCACTTTGCTCCTTTCTTCCACTAAGCTTGAGATTGCTTCTTTTATACTCTAATTCAGCTGAATTGACTTATTTTGGGGATAAGTGCCTGAAAAGGAATATAACATGAAATTAGACTAAAATGAGAAAATAAGATATAATAAGGTACTATAACAGTCAAGCTTAAGGGGTTTAAATGTGCACTTTTCAGCACTTATCACCAATCTGGCAGCAACCAAAAGCTCTTAATTGAACCAAGTAGAAGATTCAAAAAAGAAAACAACTCAACCTTTTTTTCCTTCCCAGAAAACCCCACATGATTTTGCCTTGGCATTTTCTTCACAAATGATTTTGGCGATGGCGGACAATTAAAGAAGAGAAAGAAGGAATAGGAAAAAAATAAATAAAATTATCCTTTTTTATAATTTGTGTCTTTTTAGTGTGATTAATTTGGTACCTTTTAGCATTCCAAACTGAACAATAGTGAACAATTATAATTATTGTTTCTAAAAAATCCTTTAAGAATTCCAAACTAAACCAGAGTTAATAATTATGATTTAAAGATACTTTATTAGAATTTTTATTTAAAAAAAATGAAAAATGTTAAGAAATAGAGAAAACTTCAATTCTTACTTATAACATAGCAATTTTTTTTTGGTTTAAGAAAAACGTTTGTGTCCTTTGAAGTGTTTCCACAAAAGAAAACGTTGAAGAATAAATACTAATCAACTCCATTTATTAATAATAATTCATGTTTGTACTTTAATAAGGTATAATGTAGATAAGTGCTTTAATTAGTCTTTTTATATTTTAAAAATAAAAATTTTAGGAAATTAAGAGATGGGCTTACACACGTGCAAAAAACAAGCATAAAGTTTCAATTTGGTGCAAATAAATCCCTTTAATAAATTTAAACTCTAAATTGACTAAATTATCTTTACTAAACATTTTATAAAATATATAAAAATAAATAATTTTGTAAAATAACCAAAAATGACATTATTGGAGGACGCCCCTCACATGCAAAAAAGTTCCTAAAGTTTCAATTTGGTGCAAATAAGTCTCTCTGAAAAATTTAAACCCTAAGTTGACTAAATTACCCTTATTAAACTATTTTATAAAATATATAAAATATATAATTTTGTAAAATGACTGAAAATAATACTATTGGAGGATGCCGACAATGGACAAGTAAAGATAAAAATATAAAATAAAAATATAAGTATAAAAGAAAAGTAAAGATAAAACTAGAAAATAAAAATGAAAATAAAAATGTGCTCCAAACTGCAAACTAAAGAAAACAAATATGGTCCAAACTCTGAGATTGAAAATTTTTTCCTTTTTATTTTATTTAATAGTGTTGCTACGAGAAAAAAAATAAAATAAAGAAAAAAAAATTTAGTAGAAAACTAGTAAGTTGAACTCTCAAAAAATCCAACCCCTATACTAAGAGATTAGTATTATATATAACCCTTTTTTTTATACTAAGAGAGTAAAAGGGTAAAACGGGTATTATATTACTAATTTATATCAGGTTTCTAATTGACGGGTATTTTTGGGTATTCTTTTCATCTCTACACTTTAGTCCAGTATACACAGTGAGTTTTTATGATTTTAAGGGTTAATTAAAGTAAAATTGTAGAATTTGTGTTTTTTTTTTTTATTTGTGGAAGAGAGATCATAATCTATTCACAATACATATATGTATAAATATATATATATATATATATATATATATATATATATGTAAACAAAGGAAAAAAAAAAAAAGGAAAGGAAATAATTGATGGATTCGTCACTTTTAAAGTGTGCATATATATAGAACTAGAAAAAAGATATTGTGTGACTTATATAGTAGAACTTGAAAAAAGATATTGTCCAACTTATTAAGATAGATGAATAATTGGAATGTTTTTACAACTAGTTAGAATTTGGAATAAAATAAAACAAAATTAATAAGAAAGATGAGACAATTTGTAACAAAGGGTCAGAGAAAAATAGATTGAAATTTTAATTTTTAAATAGCATGCATTTAGGGAGATATACAATAATTTAAATTGTAATCTATTAAATGTTTTATGGGTGAAGTATTGTGCAAATCACAGGTTACCTTAAGTTAATTAAGTGGATAAAAAAAATAGAGATTTTATTTTTAATTTTATTATTATTTTTTAGTCGATGTTTCATTGTTTTGTATGTCAATGGTGTAATTTTTAATTTCTTTTTCACACTCAAACCGGCAATATCAACTTTAGTATCAAGTTATGGATGTAATTTTCTAACACTTACAAAAAAAAAAAATTAAAGAAAAAAAAATTCCAATTAGTAGTGAGATGTGATTTGAAGAGATTTCTATTTTTATAAAAAAAAATTCCAATTAGTGGTTAGATGTGATTTGAAGACATTTCTATTTTTATTTTTTGAGTACTTACCTTTTATTATTATAATTAATTGTATTAATAAATATTAAATTTGGAAACTAGAAATAGTGGTAGTGATTTTGTATTAAAATGAAAGTATATAGGTAGGTTTAGAATGTAACCATTAGATTTAGATAGATTTAATCTAAATCTAATGGTCACTATAAAAAATGTTGAATAATTTTCTTTCTATATGGAGAGTAAGAGATCACTACTATATATATATATATATATATATAAATCATTAGAAGAAAATAGAAAAAAAGTGAAAAGGAAAGAATAAATGTTTCTTTAATTTTATCGGACATTAGAATTTTTTTATTTTTATTTTTTCATTTTCGAGGCGTTAGACTGAAGGTGTGATATATGTGTGCGTGTGTCTAGGCACATATGAAACAAGTGAAAAGAAAGAATTGCTATAAGGGACAATTTTGTCTTAAAATAGGTAAGTTTTTAACTTCCTTAAAAATAGAAACACTACCTTAATTACAGTTACAATGATTGATATTTCTACAGTTTTTATTTTGAAAAATTGTCTTTAGGTGTATTTTAACTCATTAAAAGTGTTTTTAGTAGTTACCCAATTTAGGTTAATTAGCTTTTTGAATGAAGGTTGAATTTGGAACTTGCAAAACTGCATTCTTTGACAGAGGTTCAATATTTTAGGTAACTTTTTTTTCTTTACATAAATTTGTCTTTTTTATCTTTTATAAAGATAATTACATTCATTCCTTAATAAAGTTGCTATTATCAAATATGGTAACACCCTATTAAAGAATATTATTGTAAAATTAAGTAATAAAAGTGTTTTTATAATGTTACTAAATAAATTATAAAATAATTTAATTTAAAAAAATACTTATTATAATGTATCAACAAACACTTGAAAAAAAATTCTAATTGCACTTTTCAAATTCTCCAATTAAAGAACTTTCGTAATATTCTTTTTGTTAACAAATCAAATGATGGATTCGTTTGTTTGAACGTAAAATATTTTTCAAAAAATATTTTTTTATTTTATGATGTTTGGTTCTAGTAAAATATTTATGAAGAAAAAAATTATTAAAATTTAACATAAATAACTTATTTATCAATTTTCGGCAGGTACATATCCTGCCGGATGGACTCTACCTCAACCTCGACGTAGACCTTTGCCAAACACTGACAAAGTAAAAATAAAATAATATTTTACTTGAAAAAAAATATTTTTCAAAAATAATATTTTAATTTGAAACAAAAGGAGCCAAAGAGGCGAAACTAGAAATTTAATTAAAAGGAAGACAAAATTATTATTATTATTATTTAACAAAAAAAAACTTACACATCCAATTATGGAAAGTAAAAAACTCAAACCTTGGAGTGTTTTGGAATGTGAAGAATTTGGTAAAATTAAAAAATTAACTTCCAAAATATATATATATATATATATATATAAGTAGAATTTCTAAGTTAACCAATTTATTAGTAGAATTTCTAAGTTAACCAATTTAAACAACAAAATGAATTATATATATATATATATATAAGTAGAATTTCTAAGTTAACCAATTTATAAGTAGAATTTCTAAGTTAACCAATTTAAACAACAAAATGAATTATAATAATAGTAACAAAGTTGAATCAAATTGGGTAGGTTGAAGCAAGCCCTGTGCATTCCTCTTTAAACACCTCTCCCTCTTCTTTTCTCTCTCTCAAAACACTTTTTATAACGGTGCCCTCTCTCTCTCTCTCTTCGCAGTGTCGACAACATTTGAAGATCAGATTCTTGAAACCCTCCTTCTCTCTCCAAATTTCTCTCTCTAGAAATGTTGGCATCTATACGGTGTAAGATCAACAGATAAACGAGAGATTCTGACACTTTGATCTGCAAAACCATCTTCAGATCTCTCTTTCTACTAGAATTTCGAACGTAAATGGGGGCGTACAGAGCTGACGACGATTACGATTACTTGTTCAAAGTGGTTCTCATCGGCGACTCAGGCGTCGGCAAATCCAACCTTCTCTCCAGATTCACCAGGAACGAGTTCAGCCTCGAGTCCAAATCCACAATCGGCGTCGAATTCGCCACTCGCAGCATTCATGTCGACGACAAAGTCATCAAGGCTCAGATTTGGGACACCGCTGGCCAAGAAAGGTTTAGATCTGATCTCACGTTCTATCTCCTTTTCCTATGCATCTTAGATAACAATATACTAATTGTTCGTGTGTATATTTGTCTAGATATTATCAATTCCACAATGCCAATAGGTATATATATATATATATATATATATACCCACACATATCTATATATGTATATACGTTTATGAAGTTCATAATTTCAGGCTATTTCTCCCATTCACGGATGATAACTTGTAAACTTTTGCAATGCATAACTGGATTTTGGTTCACAATGTCTGGAAATTTTCTGTCTTTTTGTACAAATTGTTTGAAATTTGTTGTTGTATAGACATTGATCCCGTGCACTGGACCTTACCCCTAATCAGATCTGAAGTTTGGCTTTTCACGCTTTTGATTGATTGCTGAGGGAATTGAGGAAATTATAAACTTTTAAATTTCATTCTCATATTTGAATTTGATACAAGTGGATAAATTTGGATTGGTAGTTCATGTTTTCGGTTGCTAAACGAAGCAAAGATTCACCTTAATTAACCCAAATTGTTGTATCACTCTAAGGCAATATACTTTGTTTCAGGTTTACTTGGATTTTCGACCCCGTCTTGGTTATACACCCTCAGCAACACTAATCATTTCCACATCTTGAACGGTTTCTTAGATTCACATTAGGGGCATTACTTGCTACAGTAGTAGCAGTGACGAAGAAAAGTGAGAATGTAGGTTCAAGTTTGAGAGTAGTCACTTATACAAAATAATGTCACAAGTTAGATCTGTCTACAATTTTCCCTCCTCATGGCACCTCCTGTGCAGGACCAGCCTTTTGGTAATGATTAATGCTGTTTATTCTGTATCGTGGTTAATTATGATAAAAAATTAAAAATCTTTCCTCTCTAGCATCTTCACAGAAACTGAGTACGCTTGGCATCCCTTTAGTTTTGATTAGCCCCATTGCATTTTCTATGCGGTATGCAATTTGAAGTGAAAAATCATCTTCGAATTTGGGGCATTGAGAAAAATAGGGGAGTTTATTATATATCATGGCATGTTATCATTTTCAGTTTCCTTGAAATGATAAAATTTATTATTGTGAACAACATTTTGTGATGGTTGCCATTTTCTAAGATGGCCTAATCCAAGATGATAGTTAGAAAATCTTGTAAAATATCCGTATGATTCAAATTCGACAAGACATCCAAACACACCCCAAATGTATTCGTTGCTTTGTTTTGTTGGAGGGATGGAAAAATGAATGGAAGGGAGAGGAGAAGGAATGGATGATGCATCCCTAGGGAAGGGAATCATCTCTTACTCGATCCAAAATAAAAGTATAAATTTTCACTTTTTTCTTTTTTTAGTTTGGTTGGAAGGGAAGGGAAGGGAAGGGAAAGGGGTGTTATTAGATATATATATTTTTACCAATGTATCCTCATTAGATAAGTTTATAAAAGGTAAATATTCATTTGGGTCTAACAAGTGATTTTGTTTGGTATTACATATTTGTAGGGTAGTTTTTCTTTTTTTCCTCTCCCGTTAATTTTGGACGGATAAGAAAACATGGGCTAGGAGGGATGCTTTATCCCTCTCTTCCCTTCCAACCAAACAAAGGAAGCTTCTTCTATTCGTCCTCTCTTCAATCCTTCCTCAATCTTTCCTTCCAGCCAAACATAGTATTAATGGTTGACTTATTTCTAAAGATGTGTTGTGAAAATCCCTGGATTCACTGGTTTCCTAATATTTTTTATTTTTATGGTGCTTTAGATGTGTTACTTTTCTATGGGAGCAAATTATTGACCATCTTAGTACTCCCACAGCATGCTGAGATGCTCTATATATTGGGCGTTATAAATATTGTTACTTCATTGCAGAGACGAGTCTAATTTACTAAATATTTGTTTGACATGTCTGCTATCTCTTATGTTTATGCTTTGGCTTGAAATTGGTTACAGTGGAGAGAGAAAAGGGACTTGAAATGTCTAAGCCTCTGTTACATGGACTCTTTAAAAGTATTGAAGTACCCTTGTCAGACACATATCCCTCGGACATGGGTATGGGATATGTGTCCGACACTTTTGGTTGGACATGTATTTAAAAAGCATATCCAATTATTCAATTATATTATATTATTACTTTAAAATGAGTTAAATGCCTATATTGAACATTATATTAGATAAAAACACTACTTTACTCTAGAAAATAAAATAAAATAAATAATAAAATGAATATTTAGTCGTGTCCGTGTGTCCTTCTATTCAGAGATTTGACACGTCTGACACAGGGATACATACTCGTGTCACACCCGTACCCGAGTCCATGTAACATAGGTCTAAGCTACCAACAACATCTAGTAATAGTATGATATAAAATGGAAAACTGCTTTTGCCTTTTTATCCTTATTAGCTATTGAATAGCCCATTATTTCTTCTCAGCAGAAAAATGTCTTTTGTGCCCATCAACTCTGTAATAAGAACAGATTCCAATGATTTAAAAATTTCATTTGAGCAGTACATTATTAATCGATCAATTACCGGGTGATGATTTGATAGAGACATAGTTTCGTTAAGTTTTGGGTGCTTGCTTTGATATAACTAACAAACACGAGTTTTAACAGGTTTCAGCTTTCATGTTTCAAACAGATGTTTTTTGCTGCGCTTCCCTTATTTCCCTTTTGTGTACATGTCAATTGACTGCTTGCTTCAATTTATTCTTTTGCTTCGTAGTATTTATCTTTTCACATATTTCCGTGTTTTTGTTGTATGATTCTTAAGAATAGATCTTCATCTCACCCGTATTGGTTATTTAAGCTCAAACAAATATTTGTATCTCAAGTACGTTCCTCTAAATTATATGATCTTCTCATTTCAATGTCTTTGTTAAAGATATCGTGCAATTACGAGTGCATACTATCGAGGAGCTGTTGGTGCATTGCTTGTTTATGACGTCACCCGGCAAATCACGTTTGAGAACGTAGAGAGATGGTTAAAGGAACTTCGCGATCACACAGACCAAAACATCGTGATCATGCTTGTGGGGAACAAGGCGGATTTGCGTCATTTGCGTGCTGTTTCCACTGAGGATGCGAAGGGATTTGCCGAAAGGGAGAGAACCTTCTTTATGGAGACCTCTGCTCTAGAGTCCATGAATGTGGAAAATGCTTTCACAGAAGTGCTCTCTCAGATATATCGCGTCGTCAGCAAAAAGGCACTTGAAATCGGGGATGATCCGACAGCTTTGCCCAAGGGGCAGACCATTAATATGGGCGGCAAAGACGATGTATCAGCCGTGAAAAAAGTTGGATGCTGCTCATCATAGTCTAAAGAAACGAAGATATTCCAGTGGCAAAAACCAATTATAAGGAATGCGAAGAGTTAAAGATTTCAGTGATTTTATTTGCATTCTTCTTCTTCCATCTCGTCTCTGTAATTTTTCCCTTTCCTCGGTGTATTATTAGAGGTTTTTTTGGTCACTCTTTAGGTTAGTCTATATATGATTGCTCAGGATTTGATCTGGAATGTTTTTTTTTTTTTTTTATTTCCTTATTTTTGCATCGAAATGGTTGATTAATTTTTGCATAATGGTAGTGGAATGTTAGGTTGATTACATTTTGACGACCTAAAGTTTATCAACAAGCTCAAGTTACACATTTGAATCTTGGTCCTTTCTTTTCTTCCGCATTCATTTATTAAATTTTTTTTTATTGTTATTATTTCTGATTGAAGTTAGAAATTATTTTTTGTCGCCTGTTTGAGAAGTTGCCCTAAGAAAGTTTTTTGACATTTTTTTTGAGACTTGAATCCATGACCTCTCTTTGGAAAATAAGAGGCTGATACCGCTAGGTCACTGGCTTGTTGATACTTTAAGAAAGTTTAAAAGAAACTAAACAACAAAATGATTCTAGTTCGATCCTTCTGATGATATTATTATTAGTATGATGGTTCTGTTTATTTTCTACTGTTGAGTACACTTGAATCTAATTCCTGTTTGCCTAGTACCTTAAAAGTGATGAAGAAGGTGAACAATTTTTAATTCAAACAGCCTGCAAAAATGCTTCCGCTGAATTATTATAGCTGTTGAGATTGGTTGCCTTGAAGGAAGAAAATGCAATTAGGGTCCGCTTGGTTTATAATTTTGAAAATAGTTCAAGAATTCAGAGAGTATAAAACAGTTTTTAGAAAATAATAAAAGACAGTTGTAAGAGCTTTAAATATTTAAACATTTTCCTTTTCAAAAAACTAAACCAAATTTTCTGAGATTCCATACTTATAAACCAAGTCATAGGTGAGAAGAAAGAGTTGATTCAACCCACAAATACAAAAATTGCTGTTTTGTAAAGAATTAATAGTTTTGAGTGCATTTTGAACAAATTTCATAAGAAAATACCAAATTTTTTCTAAAGCAACCGTTATAAAATATAGAATCTGTTGGGGATACACAACTGGTTTTGAGGTTTTGATGGTTTATACTTTCTCAATTCATCTAATTCAAAATTTTGTTGTAAGTTAAATCTTCTCCCAGTCCTATATACTCTTTGTGCGCCAAATTATTCTTTATATAAGAAAGGATCATACATACCACCAAGTTTTTTTTCTTTCCTTGCTTATTTTTTTATTATTTTTTTTTTTTTTGGGAAAAAATACATTTACACACCCATACTTGTCCCAATAAGTATGGGACGTGAATCCTCGACCTTCTACTTTGAGAAAAAGTACAACTAGACCACAGCCTTTGGTGGTTGCTATCCACGGTTGTAATGGACCTCTAAACCAACCTGATTCTCTCGCTAGAAACAGATCCACAATCTCTCCAAGCAAGAACCTCCCTTTGTCCTGCTCAGCAACACATTGATCCGCAGTACACTTCCAAAAATAAGTTGGGACTAATATGAAGAGAGCCAATTGTTGCTGCCGCTGCTGCTCTTCAAAAATCCCACTCGATGAGACCAGGTTGCGGCCCTCATTTAACAGGAAGTCTGCACAGGAATTGTCCTCTCGAAGGTCATGCATCCTTCTTAAACATGGACAATAAGCTCTTTCATTGAACTGATATGTGAGATTCATACCCTTTTTTGTTCAATGTGGGGCAGCTAAGATTAACAAGCAGTTCTTCAACCTACACTAGTGCTAAGAATAACAAGCAATTATTTTCAATCAATCATATACTTTTCAAGAGTTTTATCACTTCAAAACCAACTGAATATGAAAGAAATTTGCGTTTCACTGTTTTTTTTGGTGGTCAATGGCAGAATATGCAGCTGTTAAATCATAGGATGGCTTTACAAAATTTGCAACAAATACAACATTAAAAGTTAAAACCCATCAGCATGTATAAACCCCAAAGTTAGCTAGGGGGTATCCTTGCGCCATGAAGGGTGCTTTGTCAAACTTTGTGTGGATTTAACTCTGTTCGATGGTAAAACTGTAACAATAACCGGGATAACAATCTAAGAAAATCTAGTTTATCATCATCATCATCTACCAAGCCTTGAACTTGGCCAACAAGTTTGGAACATCATGTTACCAAGCCTTGAATGATCAGGGTTGATTTTTTTGTCCTTCTTCGGTGCCAGGAGCATGCTTGAAGTGAAAAAGACCACTAAGTCCTCGTCCTTTGCCAAGTTGCTCTAGCTCACCAACTTTCTGTTTAAGAAGTTCAATCTCTTTTGCTATCTCTTCCTCTCGTTGCCTCAATGCCTAAATGCAAAGAGAGTCGCAAATTTTCAAATTAACAGCAGAACGACCAGATATTTATGGCTTTAAACCTGTTTTATAATCATTAAATCAGAAACTATGCACATTCATATAAACTAAATGAACTATTTATCACCATAACTTGGAAAATTCCCATAAGATTATTTCTAATTGTAATTGAAAAGTTCTAAATAATTTATATGCAGAGTCAATAGAAAGAACAGAAGCAATTAGAAAAGCAGCCAGCATTTACAATAAAAATTTTCAGCTGCATCATCGCCAATATAAACTGCCAATAGTGTGATTAATTTTATTGAGGTTCATCTTATTATTAATAAATTTTCCCTCAGGCTATCCCTCAGTATTGGTCACTCTGTCCATGACAAATAAGCTATGAGTTAGCAAAATTTGATAACATGCCATAAAAGGAACATACTGCTTCAGTCACACCCTTGATCTCTCGATTTTCTGCTTTACACCTCTTTTTTTTTTTTTTTCTTTTGGTATCACAACTCCTCACCTCTTCCCTTGGAACATTTACCAAAAGGAACACCATTTGAAGGCCACTTGATTCAAGGGGAGAAAAAAATGCCTCACAAAATAAAAAAAAATTGTGTCCTGTAATGAAGGAGGTGATTAAAAATAAACCTCTAATTCCTGTTTGCGCAGTTCCTCCTTTCTAGCTTCTGATCTAGAACTTCTTTGCACCTCAACGATAACAGCAGCACCAGCAACCTAAGCAAATCAAATGGAGCATGTAAATCTAAGTATAAAAGAATCTTAATGCAAAAATAATGTATATCTCAAATAAAACATCTCCTATATTGAAAGATAACACAACCAGCCGTTGTTTCCAAATTTAATTGGAAACAAAATTTTGGTGACCAGAAAATGAAAATGATGTAAAATATCAATCGACTTTCCCAAGTTCACAAATAGTAATGTCGACCATGTATGAGCCACATGCATATGCTATAAGGATGTACAGCCTCTTATTGCTCCACAATGTATCGCAAGAGTTTCAATGCAAGTAAGACTACAAGGAACCATACCATGTGTACCAGAAAGTTGACAATTTATTATTATTATTCTTATTAAGACAGTGGTACAAAGTATCACTTCCATTACAGGCAACTCCAAGTCCATCGTACCCATGACCCATCACACTCGATCAGAAACCGGTCTTGGGCACATTGGTGTCTAGTTTAGTAAATTGAGTAGACAAAAAACATTTCTTCCAAAATGCGGTATAGGTGAAATTTTCAACTTGAAAATGAATGGTCAGGGAATAAACATTATCTGTAGGTTGTCAATCCATAGCTTTTTATGTTAAAAGAATCAAGCCTCTTAGTTATGGGATTCTAAGTCTGTTTTAAATTTTTTTTTTCCCCAGAAAAATATGCTCTTATATGTTTAAGACGAGAACAAGTCCTGTAACTGCAGCCCCAACAGCAATTCCCCATTCTGCATAAAGTGAGGTGTTGTAAGGTTGAACTGCCAGACATACCATCCCCTTGTTGAAAAGCTCATTCTTTTATGCATATTAATTTATCTTTGGTTAGTTTTACTTCATCACATACCAAATACACGCATGTAGACTCACGTGCATTAGTGCAAGCACAATGGCACCATTGAGTTATCTAATCATTGTGTTACTCCTGCTTCCTAAATTACTTGGACTACATGCCAGATAAATACAATGACAAAAACAATTGCGGTATACTCATGATGACTTGTATGTCTGCATGATTGCACTACAATAAAAACCTACTGATCACATCAAAGCATAAGCAACCCAACCACCCAAAACACACACAAAAAAAAATATAAATAAATAAATAAAATTGAAATCAACATCAAATTCTATAAATTGCTAGATGCACATGAGCATTGGTATTTATAAATTCAAGGTATGCATGCAGAAGAACATAATGCACCCAATGGAAACCAGAATGCAAGCACATGAATCCTCAGCCCAGAATACATACACCAGTCACCACTACAACCGACCAAACACATAGTCAAGCACTTGCCAATGTGACTTATCAAAAAAAAAAAAAAAACCACTCGCCAATGTGAACCCAGACTAATGCAACTCTACTAAGCTCCATAAAGCCTTGTGACAACTATATGGGAGCAACTAAATGAACACTGTCTCGCCGTTCCTTTTTGTGTACCATCATTTTAGTTAAACCTCATCCAACCATGAATACATATGTCATATATAGCAGCTCCAGCCTGTAACAAGGTCACATTAGATATCATCACGGTCATAAATATCTTCACCAGCGTTAATATCATCACTATCGATATAACAAGACCTTTAGACTTGTTAACCAGGAACTTGCTGAGAAATACCGTTACCAAAAGACAAACAAGAGTTTGTCGCTGGGCATGTGATGAAAAATAGGTCCCTATCTATTGGAGGGTCTCATAGGCATGCATCCAATAGGAATCAAACATAAGATTTTGCCAGCTATGAGTTGAGCACTTTAACCATTCAGACATGGATGCTTAGCAGGGATTTTTATTAACATGTAAAATTCTTGATGTAATCAAATTTGTAGACTTATTCAGGGTTCGTAGAAATGGAAAGAGGGACATTTGCTATGGGATGTAGGCAACAGTTTATTTAAGTTTTGAGGATCAAAGTGAAGACATGGGCAGGGTTGGGTTCATGGGTTCTATTTCAATTGTTCATTGGTTGTAATGAGTCCGAACAGTCACTACTGCGGTTGACGGTGAATTACATGGGATGAAGTACCAAGTAATTAAGGAAATTGAAGCAATGAAGTTACTTTAGACACAAATAATATGCTTGAGGAGCAAATTATTTAACTATTTAAATGTATATAGTAATAATGATTTGAATGAAAATTTTACTTTTGGAGAAATATAGTCTAAATATAGTCTCTTTTTTATGCTCTTTCTTTCTTCCTAGGCAATATTTTGAGCCCCATAGTTGAGTCTACAGTGCTGGAAATTGCAGATTTCTAAACAAAAATATATTTAAGCAAAATTCAGCTTTGATCTGGGTTTGTTTGAAACTACCTTCAATGTAGCCATTGGGTTCCCTACCAATTTACATCAATCTCAATCTATATTAGTTTTGATTTTCTAATTCCCTAGCACTATGCTCAAAGGTGAATAATTTTACCCTTGCTGATGCAATTATTGGTCGTTGTTGTATATGTTCAAACTATCTTAATTGGGTTTTCTTTTTTCTTTTCTTTTTCTTTTCTTTTTTTCACTTTATTTCCAGTGAATGCCACACACAAGCGCAAAACAACTAATATAACCACAATCCCACAGCTAAATAAGGTTGTGGTTAAATATGCAAACATGTTCATCGTCAATGAAAATTTAAGATGCCAAAGAAGAGTTTGAAATCAGGAATAATTATTACCGTAAACACAAACAGTTCGCCAAGAAGATCTGCCGCAGCTTGGACAGCCTTTTCCTCATTCAGAGGACGAATTTCAACATCAGTTGCATGACCATATATGCGTCTTTGCATTGTCGTTGTGAATCGATGATTTGCCTGATATAGTATTAACAAAAATCACACTTATCAACAACAACAACAACAAAGAAAGGAGGAGAAAAAGAAACAGTGTCAACAAAATTCACATTATGTAAGCCAGCAGATCTATCTTATGCATAAAGAAAAGAAGAAAAATTATATTAATCAACAAAAGGGGCATATCCATTTAACAAAAGATCATATGGATCAGTAAAAGCTTCATTCAATAAACAAACAGCAATTCCATCTAATAATTTTATGGAAAGATTAGAATTGGATAACTGATAAGAAGACAAAGGGACCGAAATTAACCACAAAGGAATTAGTAATCTAGAATTCACTCAAGTACTCAACTGAGGTAATCAAACTCATGTTACTAATCACAGAAGCACAAGCACTCATGCAACAAAGTGAAATGCTTGATTGATGAGTGGAATCACTCAGCTCTTTGTCTGAGGCTTACAAAGAACTAAACAAAAAATACTCAGCAAAAGCATTCTTTTACCTGTGTCTTCAAGGCTTATATATAAATCTAAAAGATTACATTCAAAATTATAATACAGCTACAGTAATTACTCACTGGAACTGCTTTGCATGTCTTGAATCTACATTTGTTAATGTCTTTTCCTCCTTGAAATTCCATCCTAATAAATGCATGACTCCCACAAAATAACTATAAGCTTTATAATTTTCCAACTTCTGTTAAATCAAAAAAATATAGACCATCAAATGGACCCACACAGCGCCACTAGATCCATGGGCTGAGTCAAATGTTCTTTTGGCCCACAATTTCTAAGAACATCTTATTTTGATGAGACAAATAACTCCAAATGCTTTATGTAAATTGTATGACTATGAACAAAACATGCAAATTAAATTCTCCCAGCTCTCACACATCCAATTGCATGACCACTCATTACACTTCAAAATTTGTTTAATATAATTTGGTAGCATATTTGCATTAGGGGAGGGACAGGGGCAGGAGTACGGGTCAGTGTTAGGTATTGTGTATAAAATTTCTAGTTTAATTAGGCTTCTATTTTAGAGTTGTATTTTAGGATATATCTTGTTGGGCAAATCTTGGGCTCCAATGAATTGTAATCCTTATCCAACAAGGAATCGGGTTTAGGGCTCTATAAATAGATACTGAACAATCTACCAGCACCATGCCCAAAAATTAAAGAACCCAAGAAAACTCAACCAGCGTCATCTCGTTAGGGTTCATCAGGTTCTGCATCAAGTTGCCCAAGCTTTCAAGAATTTAAGCGAGTCAAATGAGTTAGCTAGGTGAATATAACATGCTAATAGACAAAATTTCGTATAAAAAGAAAAATAACTTGTAATATAGCTGTTCATATATGTCATAAAAATTTGTAATAAAATTAACCAAGTTATGAATTGCGATAAACTATGACTATAGTAAAATATATGTCAACAACAGGTTCAAAAATCAGTAATATAATACACCAAAAAGTAAAGCATGGAACTTTAACCTCAATAATTGTTAATAGCATATAGTCTTGAAACTCTAAAAAAATATAATTTTTTTTTATACTTCGGGTTTCTTGAGTTAGACAAAACCTTGCACAATTCCCATTTAAAATGAATTCAGGCTCTAAAATTTGAACTCGAACCCCATCACAAGATCCCAAATACTCTTTCCAAGCACAAAAAATTTTCAGGTTGGATTTGGGTTGATTGGGTTAGGCCCACCCAGTCCCACCCCTAATTCGCGAACCCCAAATTGATACATATTAGGCATTGGAAACATATCTGATGTTCAAAATCCTCAGAAACTCCAACCCAAGCATGTGCCATTATTAGCATTTACCTAAGCAGCAGGGGTATCCATGATGCACAAACAGTATGGATAATGTAAATTATAAAATATAACTACAAAGGCATGAGTTCCTACTCAATAATTTGCCTTGTGATTCCCAACACTCCACACTGCCACCATAGGTTTTAAATGTGCAAAGCATCCCATACTATCAGTCACGATAAGCAAACTCTTCATTCTGGTACTGTCCAACTGCAATTACTGGATGAATTATCTATAATGTTCTTAAGATTCTGGATAAGGAAAAAACATGTTAATCGCTGCGAATTGTCACGATGGCGAGGTTCTGGTAGTCCACAAGCAAGTGTTTCACTCTACATGCCTTGGCTTCCCAACTTCTTCTTAGCCTTTTTTGTCTTAACTTCAATCATTTGACTAAAAGCATTCCAAATATTGTTTGTTCACCATAGTTAACATCTTCATTGTCTTCTTCTCCAGATTTACCTTCACTTAAAGTAATAAGAAAAGATTTAAAACCTACAATTCTTTTCAGTGAACACTCATCAGATTCAATCTCAATATTTTTCAAAGCAATACTTTTATACTTCTTTTGTTTAGGCAAATTAAAGATCTTTGCCTTCTTTTGTAACTATGACCTTAGATTGATATATATATATATATATATTTGTTTTTTTTTTTCTTTTCTTTTTATTTCCTTAGATTGAAATATAGTAGCCAAAGATCTTAATTAAGCTCATAAGTTTGCAATAAGCCAACAAGTTCCTCCATTTTGTTGAGTCAAGATAACCATGATCTTATACTAAAATCTAGTAACAAAGTGTTACAATAAAAAATAATGACATCTTTGGTTGAGGCAAATTAAGTGCATAATAAACCTCCAAGTTTCTCTGTTTTGTTAAGTCGAGATATTTGCCTTCTTTTGTAACCTATGACCTTAGATATTTATATATATGTATATGTATATATATATATATATATTATATATATTTTTCCTTCCTTATATTGAAATATATTAGCCAAAGATCTGAATATTTTTCTAACTACACCATATTCAGGAACACTTGGGTTAAAACTGATATTGACATATTACTCAGCTTCGCATAAAATGATCAAAGATTTTATGTTCTTTCATTCTAATTGTTTCAGACATAGTTACAAGTATCTGCAATTTTGAGATTTAACAGTTTCCTTTAACGAGTAACTCCTAAATTATTATAAGATTCCTTAGATGTCATACGCATTTCTATGCTACTATATAAATGTAAATAGGATTTTTATTTTTTATACACATTTTTTCATAAATAAAAAATCACATATTTACTTACAATTTCTATTAGTCAATTATTTATTTATTTGTATGTTCATGAAACTATCAACTTGTATTTATTTGTATTTTTCTAAAGTTATAGATTTGCATTATTTATTACCTATTGGTCTATTATTATTATTATTTTTTAAAACTACTTAATGAAAGACTACTCAGTGAACACCAAGAGGTCGCCTTCACACCCTTTTGGATTGCCCACTAATTAAATGTCTAATGGCTCTGAATTTTCCTCTCTCTTTTTTTCCTCTTTTCATCTAAATTAATATGGTAAAAAAATCACAACATAATTCCAAGAATTCACATTTCAAGAGTTTTAAAAATTTCTACTTATTATGCATGATATATTTTAATATAGTTCTTTAACAGGCCGAAGAGCTTTCAAATTTGATAAGACAAGATAAATATCAGGTAGAAAATTTTTATATTGAAATTTTAAGGAAAACAATGTTCATTTATTATGCAATGTTCTTGTATTTTTTTAGTATTGCTTCCTTAAAATTCACAAAAATTTTCAAATATGTGCATCGCACATATTTTTAACTAGTTCTAGAAAATTTGCTTATGCCAATGCTTTGACAACACAAATTATATTCGTAAAACTTGAATTAGGAGGAAATATAGTTAGCGCTTATGCATCCCAAGTTGGTCTAGATGAACACAGTACAGCACAATTTCGGAAACATATGGACGAGTTAATTCAAGGGATACCCGGAGGAGAAAAATTATACATCTGAAGAGACTCTAATAGTTTAATTATACGTCGGAAGAGACTTTAACAGTCATGTAGTAAAAGATTGTGGAAGGATCTGAGATGGTAGATGCTAGACACTGGTTTGGAGATAGAAATAATGTTAGGTAGGCTATCGTAAATTTGCAGTGACATCTGATCTTATAATTGAGAGTACTTATTTAAAAAGAGAGATAAACATTTAATAATGTTTAAGAGTGTAAACAAAATAAGCCAAATTGACTTTTTTCTAACTAGAAAGGTAGATTAATTAACAAGCAAAGATTGTAAGGTTATGCCATGACAGAGTTTAATATCACAACATAGGCTACTAGTTTTAGATGTATATATAAAAGGACTAGTGAAAAGGAGAAATAGAATTATAAACTCAAGAACTAGGTGGTGGAATTTAAGAGGGGGAGAAAGTAGAATTATTTAAGAATAGGATGCTAAAAGAAGTAATAGGAAATTTAGAAGATAATACAAGCATAACGTGCAATAGGATGGCTGGATGTATTATAAGAGCATCAAAACATATCCTTGGAGAATCAAGGGTAAACTGCACTTACCTCCTCTCAAGATAGGGAAAATTACTCGGACCTCCCCTAAGTTTTGGATAATTATAGTTACCTCCCTTATAACTGATAGTGTTCATGTTTTTTAGCGGAGCATGTGAAATTACTCTTATGCCCTTATTATTTTAAATGATTTTTTAACAGAATCCAATTTCTGTGTCTCTCTCTTCCCACTTACAAAGCCCCCTTCAATAAATGCTAGCCCAAATGAGAAGACCAGTTCCTTCTCCAGAAGCTGTGAACCGTTCATGGTGGACAAGTTGTCTGATTCAACTAACATCATGATGAAATTGTTACAAAAATGGGATTTTAAGGGTAGCCAATAGAGAAAACCGTGGATGTCAGCATGGTATCCACCTGCCGCCTAGCCATTGTGGTAGTAGTTAGTAAGTAATACAAAAACTCAAAATTTAAAAACTTTCTCTATATAACCAATAAGAGGGCATTTCCAAAAAAAACAACATTCATCACGGGCATATCATTAAACATTTCTGATGCATCATTGAGTTCAAGCGCAGAGTCTACAAAAGAATACACCAATTGCAATGTTGTTTCCATGTGGATACGCTTTTCTAGGGTTTAGACTGAAGATATCTATATCTGCAAGTCTATCTTGCTTGTTCACACCTAATAGATTATGATTAACCTCTAATAAGAAACCCAGATTCATAGACACTTAGACAGGCTAATTATCAAAAACCATGTTCCAAAATCAGCTCAAAGCTAAGAAAATTGATGGAAAACCAGACTGATGAGTCACCGATAACAAGCGGCAGAGTCTCATGGCCGTAGCCAGCGAACACAGTATGATACAATGGCCAAAATCAAATGAAAAGTTGACTTTAAAGCAGTGGAACTAAAGAAAGAGTGAGAGATCTCTGTCAAATTTGTGAGGTTTCGGACATTTCAGACCCCCGGTGAGATACAGATTAGTAACTGACATGCCCTTATTATTGTGTTTGCGCGTGCAGGAGAATGTACTGTAGAGTTGACTAAAGGAGTGAACCAGATGATCTCTCCACGAACAAAGTAAAAAGCAAATAGTTTATACAAACAACAAACATATATATGACACAATGTCAACTAGGAATTCCATCAATCCCATTTTCTTTAGTTGGGTATAATCGTGTTTTTGCACAACAAGCATTAGACAAAAGTGTCTTCACAGTAATTTGAAGGGCATTGGTCATATGGAGCTCAAAAATTTGCCACATCAGCATTGATCATCTTTGACCGTTGGTAAAACTTACCGTAGGGATCAGTTTGTTACAAAAATGTATACTAGAAGGGGTTAACTGTAATTATCCAAAACTTAGGAGAGATCGTGTAAAGTTTCCTATCATACTTTATCCTAGAATCAAAAGGAATATGGTCATTGTCTAAGAATACTTGGTAGTGTAATGAACCAGTCGAAAACATCATTAAAAAAAAATAAAAATAAAAAAATAAGAATGCTAAAAAACCTAGAAATAGAGAAACCTTTGAAAAATATAAAGATGTCAACAAGGAAGTCAAAAAAGTTGTGAGTGAAGCTAAATATAGAGAATACAATCATCTATATTCTAAAATAGGTGGGAAAGGGGGAAAGGAATATATATAAACTTGCTAAACTAAGGGAGAGAAAAACTAGAGATTTTAATAATATTAAATGCATCAAAGTGAAGATGTACTGATTTTAGTTAAAGATGACAAAATAAATGAAAGATAGAAAAGTTACTTTGAGATGGCATTAAATGAAATCATTAAGGAAGTTTAGCTTAGAAAAACATAATAAATTTAGGGATAACATATTTTTTCTTAGGATCGAGGAGTATGATGTTAAAAATGTAATAAGGAAGATGAAATCAGGAACGTTTAGGACCAAATGGCATTACTATTGAGATTTGAAGTGTTTAAGGGATGATGGCAAATTGTCTAATAAGATAATTAAGATAATAACAATTAAGAGAATGTTTGATGAGTGTTGTAAAAGTATTTTACTAACTAAAGAAAAATGAAAAATATATATATAAAGTTGTAATACTTATCATGATATTAATTTAATGAGTCATACTACGAAACTTTGGAGAATGACTGCACAACGACTAAGATGAGAAACAAAAGTGTCAGAAAAGCAATTTGGATTCTTGCTGGGGAGCTTGATGAAGGCTAGTTTACTTATCGAGAAGACTAATGGAAATATATAGATTGAAAAAGAAGATCTTTGTACGGTCACTATTGATTTAGAGGAGGCCTGTGATATGATGCTTACTACTTAGAGATCAAATATGAAACAGTTTAGAAAAGAAAGAAGTCATAAAGGGGTATAGTAGTACAACAAAAGAACATATATGATGAATGTGTGACTATAGTTAGAAGAAATGTAGGGAAAACAAGTGAAATTTATATGATATTTGTTGATGATATTGTTTTAATTAATGAATTGGAGGTTTGTTATGAAGCTCTGGAATTAAAAGGGTTTACGAAAAACTTATCAAAAAAGAGGAGGAGGGGGGGGGGGGGGGGGGGGGGGGGAGGATCAAAAGATACCAAAAAGTGAACATTATTGTTATTTGGACTCAATTATTCACAAAAAAGGTGAAATTGGAGATGATGTTAATACCATAATCAAAGCAAGATGTGTTAATTGAAGGACTGTGCCTGGTATATTGTGCAATTGGAGTATGATGTATCAATCCAACATTTCAAGGGAAGTTCTATAAAAGAAATCGTTAAGAGACAAAATATTTGGCAACAAAGAAATAACATATGCATAAAGTGTGTGTGCTAGAAATGCGAATGTTGAGATGGATGTGCAGCAAGACAAGAAATGATAGAATTATAAATAAAAACATTCATGAGATGGTAGAAGTAGCACCAATTGTAATAAAATGAGAGAAAATTGATTAAGATGATTTAGATATGTGCAAAAAGACCACTAAGTGCACCAGTTAAGGGGAGAGACATGCTCTACATTGAGGGTAATGCTAGGGGAAGGGAAGACAAAAATTAACATGGGTTGAGTAAATAAGGAAGGACATGATAACATGTGATTGATAATTGGATTCATGCAGTTGAAAAGGCTTTGTTGAGTTGGAGATATTGAAAATCCTGTCTACTCTGATCTACTAGTTGCAGAAGACACTCAAACTAAAATATAAACTTACTAAAATCGAATGATAAATAATTACATTCTATTGTCCCATGTTACCCATGAACCCTAAAAAATGGGAAAATAAAGTAGAACTTTTTATAATTTAAAAAAATTTGAGTGACAATGTTCCCCATGTGTAGTTCCAACTATTATCAGGCTGCAACTATATATGAATTTTTATTTTATTTTATTTTATTTTATTTGCCAGGAAATGTGCTAAAATATGATTCATACCACACTAAATGAGTAAATGTAATTAAAATTGCAGAGTGATCTAGAGCGTCCAACATGATGCAGAAAACAGTAGCAAATTGTAAAACAAAATCAACTTCGATACAAGCTGTAGAGCTATGCCAAGTTCAAGATCCAAATTACCCACAATGATTTGAAGCTATAAAATGAAGAGAAATCAAATATGGATGTGTGAAACCTGCGCAAAGTTGATGATGAATTCACGGAACTTTGGGTGCAAACCAGCCTCTTTCTTGAGTCGATTAGCGATGGGTTTGCAGGCTGTCTTCAGAGCAAGGGTCCCAAGCTTCAGAAATGGTAGAATCATCTCTCTATAAAATCACTCTCTCTCTAGAAACACACCCTCTCTCTCTCAAACCCACGCTATCGTATTTATCATAGGGGGTGTGTGATGTGAGCGAGATCACACAGTAGCACACACCACCTGTTTGATGTTAGGTCTGTGGGAGTGTGATGAAGACGAGAGACATCAACGAGCGTCGGGGAGCTGATCGGTGTGGAATTCAGACATTGGTGGCGTCTTCTCCTTTTCTGCGTCTGAAATCTGATTCGTATTAAGGGGTAAGACTGTCATTTAAGTTAACACAAGTCTATTATTAGTATTATTTTTGACCTTTTTTTAGTAACGAAGAACCAAACTAGCTACCTGTTAATCACTTTGGATTCCAGATAGCTTACAAATTCCACATGCGTAAAATGACACAATCACTTGATAAGTGTAATGCTTTTTTCTCTCTCTAAATAAGTGGGTGCTTTCTTTCTTTGTCTGTTTTAAAATAATTATTAATTTTTATTTTTTAAATAATATATCACATATTTTCATAAATGTCCTTTGAATTTTAAATTTCAAATTTCAATATTCAAAACTTAAAAAGATAATTTAGTAACTTTTCAGGAAAACAATGCAGATCTCACATGCCCCTTTAAAAAATACTACTTTCTAAAAGCGACACTTAAATTGGGACTGAGGGAGTGTCAATTATGTTCGAGTGAAGCATTATTATGTGACCTAAATGATGGAATGCTCAGCTCACAGAACAAGTATACCCGTATTCGAGTTTCTCTTCCCCTAATTTGAAGGGATAAAAAAAAATAAAAATTAGTATTTGAGGCGCTTCCAAATTGGAAGCCCTAAGTGATCGCTTGCGTCCAAGGCCAACCATGAGCCCGTCAAATTTAATACTCTGTTTGGTGTTCCAAACAGATCCTCAACAAATCATTTTATAGCTTTGATCATATCAGGCAAAAGTTTAGACCTAGATCGTCCCAACGCCATCAGAAACAACCGAAAGGAGCCATATTTAAAAGGATTAGTAGGAGATAACATAAAACCCTTAATGGGCTTCTTCTTCTTCTTTTTTTTTTCTTTTTTTTTTTGAGTCAAAACAACTACTGGCCCCATTTGTAGACAACACTTCAAGAGCCAACTAAGGGATTCATGAGTTTGCATCTTGTGCATAACTAATTTACTACTACATATGCTGCTAGCCTACTATATACATAGTACACACACATATATAAACATGCATGTCATTGCCTCTAAACCAATTCTCTAAAAATGCATTAATTTGTTGGAAAGAGTTGAGAAATGAAGAGATGGAGATCATGAAATATGGAGGTGTAGTGTGAAACCTGTGCAATGTTGATGATGAAGGGACGGAACTTTGGGTGTAAACTGGCCTTTTTCTTGAGTTAATTAGTGATGACGGGTTTGTAGGCTGTCTTCAGAGTAAGGGCTCCTAACTTTACTACTGGTAGATGTAGATGTAGCTATGAGACCATCTCTCTATATATATACACTTTGTAGGGGTTCTTTTTTCGATCATGTAATACAATAATACAATGGTAATATTAGAAATACAAATACGAGGAAAAACAGAGGAAATACTCAGTGTAAGAGGAGGAGATGAAGACCAACTATCAAGATAAAGATGGCGGTAGGGCGAGTTTACAATATCTTATGACAGCCTCCTCTTCTTGGGTTAGTTATTCCTTTATAGGACAGTACTATTTATAGATCCGGATTCCATTGGTTATTGTCCAATGGTCCCTTCCGTGCATGGTTCCTCGCATGCATTACTCCCAATCTGGATTACGTGAGTAATCCTGGAGATTTAGGAGTCTGAAGGGTCTAATCCTTTCCTCGAGCCTTGTCCTACATTGCCATGTCACTTTTCCTTTAATTAGGGGCATTAAATGTTGCTTAGCCGTCGGTTGGTCAAGCCTGACACAGCATTAAATGTGATTTTAAGGTTTGCTGTCATGACATGTATAATCCCATCATCTTGCTAATCGGGCATTGCTGAGAGCGAAGGCACCTCTTGACATAGATCCCCTATAGCTGCGAAGGCCCCACCTTCGTTTCGTGCTATACGCAATCTTCTAATGGCGAGTCCCTTGGGCTCCAGTCCTTCAACGTGATGTTGCCTGGCGCAACGCCAGTGCTTGGGGTATTCGAGAGTTAGTCCTTCGAGGCATGATGGGCCTAGAGCAACACTAGAGCTCAAGGCGCTCAAGGATTGGTTCCTCAAGGCTTGATGGGCCTGGAGCGACACCAGGACTTAGGGTACTCGAAGTTTGATCTTTCGAGGCTTGATGGGCCTAGATTGACGCCAAGGGCTTAGGGTGTTCGAAGTTTAATTCTTCTAGACTTGATAGGCCTGGAGCGATGCCAGAGCTTAAGGTGCTCGAAATTTAATTTTTCGAGGCTTGATGGGCCTGGAGCGATGCCAAGGCTTAGGGTACTTGAAGTTTGATCTTTCGTGGCTTGATGGGCCTGGATCAACGCTAGGGCTTAGGGTGCTCGACGTTTAATTCTTTGAGGCTTGATGAGCCTGGAGCGATGCCAGGGCTTAAGGTGCTCGAAGTTTGATTTTTCGCGCTTGATGGGCCTGAAGCGATGCTAGGGCTTAAGGTGCTCGAAGTTTGATTTTTGGCTTGATGGGTCTGGATCGACGCCAGGGCTTAGGGTGCTCGAAGTTTAATTCTTTGAGACTTGATGGGCCTAGAGCGATGCCAGGGCTTAAGGTGCTCAAAGTTTGATTTTTCGAGGCTTGATGGGCCTAGAGCGATGTTAGGGCTTAAGGTGCTTGAAGTTTGATTTTTCGAGGCTTAATGGGCCTGGAGCGATGCTAGGGCTTAAGGTGCTCGAAGGTTGGTCCCTCGAAACTTTTGACTTTTCAAATCGCCATAGGGGATTTGATTAGCGTCGTTCTGATTTGTCAACATGCCATGTCAGCCTTCAATAAATGACACCCACATTTTGTCCCCCTACACGTGTGGCGATTTGTAACGTATTGCTGCATGTGCAAGGCTAGACGGCTAGGTCATTTATGTCTTCGAGAAGATTGAAGGGACGCAAGCTTGAAAGGTCGCCTCTAGTTATTAATGCGCCGTCTATTGCTGCTTTGATTTTTAGGGGTTCCCGAGGTGAGAAGGCTATTAAAAGGGGATAGCAACGATGTGAAGGGCTATTTATGAAAAGAGAACTTAGAAATTACTATGGTTACCTTCGTTTCCATCATCGCCAGCAAAGAAGACCTGCTAAAATTTAAAGCTTTTTGTTCGTTTTTTCTTAGTTGGAGAGATTGCCATCATGGTTAGTAAAAAATAAAAGCTATGCAAGAAGGATTGTCCTCCCTCTAAAGTGTCAATAGATTCGGAATGGCGGCGGGCATCCTTCTTTGGGAAGAACGACTTGTTTTGGTCTCGGGCAAGTAAGGCTGTGGTTGCCGGTGAACCACTTGAAGTGGTTGAGTTGATGGAAGAGGAGGTTAAGATTAACCTAGCTCCTCGCATCCTTACTGATACCATTTTGCGATTTCGGGTCGAGCAAGGGCAATATCCACAGTCTTATGTGAATTTTAACAATTACATTAGTCCTGCCCATAGTTGGGACAAATGGACTGATACAATCCTCGCTAACCCTGCGTACAAGGCAGTTTTGGATGCGACGAGCTTGACACCTTGTATTAAGCTGTTTTGCCAAATACAAATTCCTCGCGACACTACCGGTTTATGGGAATTGACCTCGCGGTGGAGCTCAAGCTCGTACACTTTTGTTACTGCGTAGGGAGAGTTTACACCCACTATTGAGGATGTAAGCCAGCTATTGGGTCTACCTTTTCAGGGGGTGGAGAATCCTGGCTCTTGGGAATTCTTGCCAACTGAAGAGACTTTAGTGCAGGACCTCGAGGCAGCCTTAGAGGAAACCAAAGACTTCAGGTCAATGTGGGGAGCACAGGGTGTTCGCCATGCTACTCGAGGCAAGGGTATGCGCAAAGCCACTCTCGGGGCTTTGGTGCGGTACTACTTTAAGGATTTTCCAATGGCGAGGAAAAATCTCTCAGACGAGGGAATAAAAGAAATTCCAGGTCCTGGATTGACAACTCTTCCAGTCTCGCGGCCTACTTACTATGTTGGCTATCGAGGTACGTACTTGAAGGCACCCCTGAAAATGCTCCGCTACTGCGGCTTTTAGACCTCACAGTGAAGCTAGTGAGCGGTGTGAAAGTGGCCCTCGCGCTTCTATTTTTGGGGACATTGTACCATCGCCTCGATATAGTGGGAGAGGACATGGTACGGTTTGTGGGGCGCTATGTCCATTGCTCTTACACGTCTACCCTCTTCTTATAGATGTTTCTGTATGAGAGGTTCTAATCTTATGCTCCCATCTCAGCAGACTTAGCCTTGGATGAAGAGGTAGTACGAGGCATGAGGTGGCATGGACACTCTCCGCGAGGATGGCTAGGATATACCTTGGACCAAAGCTTCCAATTTGTTAGTCGCCCTTATGCTGCGATCCTACCTGGGGCATTGACCCTGCCCATGTACTTTGACGACGATGAGCATATTCCAGCAGGTGCTCATTGATTAAACGTGAGCGAGGTGCTGGTGTTTCTACTAATGACCACCCCTGGTTATTTGCTCGCCATATGGGAGGATGGCCAAATATCGAAGACATACAATCCTCGCAGAGTGCCTCTATAATTTGGCTATGATAGAGGGGTGCCTTCGCAATACATCTTTGTTGAGGGTGAGGACTCCTACGAGAGCAGCTTTGCGAGATTTGTAACGGATCGCATTGGACTGCTTCACGAAGGGATTGGCTTTTTCTTCCTGCTAGGGAGAGGCAGGATCCCTAGGTGTACAGAGGTAGCTCGCTCACTCTGGGCTATAGAGTTAGCGAGCTGGAAGGATTTTTGCCCAAGTCCTGCCTAATGTGCAAAGGCGTTAGTGATCTACGCGGGGGACCACTCGTTGAGACTCCCTATAGAATTTGACAGGGGGGCCCTTTGTAATTTTTCCCCTGATCCTGCGTCGGCTGTAATGCAACAAGGGGAGTCCTCGCAGCCTGCCACGAGGACAGTTATTCCGGAGGTCGAGGTAGCCCCAGCGCCTGCCCGTAGGCACAAAACAAGAGCCAGCTCCCGAGCAAACATTGCCCCCCTGGAAAGCGAGCAGCTATAAGTGCTGCAAAGCCAGCTATTGCAACTGCGAGGGGGGAGAGTGTGAGGCCTTCAGCGCCAAACACATCTCGACCCATGGCCTCCTCTAGCAGAATTCCACTCATGGATGAG